CCAGACCTGGCAGGACCCCACAGAATTTGCTGAAGGGTCCCCATGAGCAGCTGGGGGTCAGCAGGGCAGCAATGAGGTGACCCTGACTGTCCTCTCTGCCCTCGGATGTCACTCAGGGTGCCCAAGGCTTGGGAAAGGATTTAGGGCTGGACTCTCTGAGTCCTCCAGAATCAAACCAAGCTTTTTTGGGATGCAGGGCCCCCAGATTCAGTCAGGCCATGGGAGGGAAGGGAAGGGACAGCCACCTCCAGCCCCTTTGCACCCCTACCCCCACCCGTGCCTGGTGGCCACGGCAGCTCCCCCGTGCTGTCCCCGCAGTGCTCCACCCAGTGTGGCCTCGGCCAGCAGAGAAGATCCGTCCAGTGCCTGGCTCACACCGGGCAGCCGTCCATGGAGTGCGTGGAGAGCCTGCAGCCCCCCGGCATGCAGCAGTGCGAGAGCAAGTGCGAGTCGGGACCCACGGACAACCCCGAAGGTATGGGGACACAGGGGCATGGGGGACAGGGTTGAGTCAGGACCCACAGACAACCCCCAAGGTGAGGGAGCACCTGGGGCACAGCCAACTTTGGGGACAGGGACATCTGAAACCTACAGACAACCCCAAAGGTGTGGGGAATACCTTGGGGCATGGGGGACAGGGACATCCCAGTCAGGATCTGCAGGCAACTCCGAAGGTGAGGGGACACCTGGGGCACAGTCAGCTCTGGGGACAGGGACATCCAAAACCTACAGACAACCCTGAAGGTGAGGGGACACCTGGGGCATGGGGGACAGGGACATCCCAGTCAGGATCTGCAGGCAACCATGACAGTGAGGTGACACATGGGGCACAGGAACAGGGACATCCCAATCAGGACCCATAGACAACCCTAAAGGTGCGGGGACACCTGGGGCATGGGGGACAGGGCCGAGTCAGGACTCACAGACAACCCAGAACGTGAGGGGACACCTGGGGCACTGCCAGCTCTGGGGACAGGGACATCAGAGCCAGCACAGCCCGAGCTGGGCTCTAGCATGAGGAGATCACTTCCCTGGAAGGATTCAAGGGCAGGTTGGATGGGCTTGGAGCACCCTGGGAGAATGGAAGGTGTCCCTGCCATGGATGAGCTTTTAGGTCCATTCCAACCCAAAATCATTCTGTTAAAAACGTGGTCATTCTGTCACCCTGGGACAGTGGGAGGGGTCCCTGCCATGGATGAGCTTTAAGGTTCCTTCCAACCCAAATTCTGTTGAAAACGTGGCCATTCTGTCACCCTGGTCCCCTCTGACACCCAGGTGCACCACAACCCCGAGAAATGCAGGAGCTGCACCTGGGCAAGGAGGGGTTTCCATGAGCTCCTCATCAACTTCCCACCATGGCTGCGCCTTCCATCTCCCTGCCAAACCCCCTCCAGGATCTCCCCGCCCCTCCGTGACCCCGCCGTGTCCCCTGTGTGTCCCCTGCAGAGTGCAAGGATGTGAACAAGGTGGCCTACTGCCCGCTCGTGCTCAAGTTCAAGTTCTGCAGCCGGACCTACTTCCGACAGATGTGCTGTNAGTGCGAGAGCAAGTGCGAGTCGGGACCCACGGACAACCCCGAAGGTGAGGGGACACCTGGGGCATGGGGGACAGGGTTGAGTCAGGACCCACAGACAACCCCCAAGGTGAGGGAGCACCTGGGGCACAGCCAACTTTGGGGACAGGGACATCTGAAACCTACAGACAACCCCAAAGGTGCGGGGAATACCTTGGGGCATGGGGGACAGGGACATCTGAAACCTACAGACAACCCCGAAGTTGAGGAGACACCTGGGGCACAGCCAGCTCTGGGGACAGGGACATCTGAAACCTACAGACAACCCAGAACGTGCGGGGACAGCTGGGGCACGGGGGACAGGGCCGAGTCAGGACCCATAGACATCCCCAAAGGTGAGGGGACAGTGACATCTGGGTCAGGACCCATAGACAACCCAGAACATGAGGGGACACATGGGGCAGAGCCAGCTCTGGGGACAGGGACATCCAAAACCTATAGACAACCCCAAAGGTGAGGGGACACCTGGGGCACAGTCAGCTTTGGGGACAGGGGCATCCAAAACCTACAGACAACCCTGAAGGTGAGGGGACACGTGGGGCACAGAGGATAGGGACATCTCAGTCTGGATCTGCAGACAACCATGACAGTGAGGTGACACATGGGGCACAGGAAAAGGGACATCCCAATCAGGACCCACAGACAACCCTGAAGGTGAGGGGACACCTGGGGCACAGCCAGCTCTGGGGACAGGGACATCAGAGCCAGCACAGCCCGAGCTGGGCTCTAGCGTGAGGAGATCCCATACCTGGAAGGATTCAAGGGCGGGTTGGATGGGCTTGGAGCACCCTGGGAGAATGGAAGGTATCCCTGCCATGGATGAGCTTTCAGGTCCATTCCAACCCAAAATCATTCTGTTGAAAACGCGGCCATTCTGTCACCCTGGTCCCTTCCGACCCCGAGAAATGCAGGAGCTGCACCTGGGCAAGGAGGGGTTTCCATGAGCTCCTCAGCACCTTCCCCACCACGGCTGCGCCTTCCATCTTCCTGCCAAACCCCCTCCAGGATCTCCCCGCCCCTCCGTGACCCCGCCGTGTCCCCTGTGTGTCCCCTGCAGAGTGCAAGGATGTGAACAAGGTGGCCTACTGCCCGCTCGTGCTCAAGTTCAAGTTCTGCAGCCGGACCTACTTCCGACAGATGTGCTGTAAAACCTGCCAGGGGCACTAGGACCCAGCGGGACCCAGAGGGACCCAGCGGGACCCAGCGGGACCCAGCGGGACCCAGAGGGATCCCCGTGGCAAAACTGGAAGGCCAAAGCTCCGCCGGAGGGCCACCGAGCCGTGCCCTCCCTGTCCGCCCTGGGAATCGCCCCCGGCTCCCACGCAGACTCCGGCGTCACCCAAAACCCGTCCCCAAAACCCCCCCCGTGGCCCCCGAGCTCCACAGCGGCGCGTTCCCGGTTCAACCAGTGCAGGATGGGCGCTGGGAGAGGGGGAAGCTGGGCAGAGCGGRGACTTTACTTGAAATTCTGCTGTTGTTATTTATTGGTGGCGGACCCAGCCCTCCAGGAGCCACCCGGGGAGCGCCGYTCGCCCCGCTCCGTGTCCCCAGGGCATCCTCACCGCGGGGTTTGGGCACTCCGAGGGTCGCTGCCCTTCTCCCGGGATCCCAGGGGGCACAGGGAGGAGGGTCCCGGTGGCCAGCGGGGCTTTGGCTCGTGGGTGACGGATGAAGAGGAGCCGCTGTGGGTTGGAGCAGGGGTTGTGTCCCCTCGGTTTGGACCGTGTCACCTCGGCACTGGCACGGGGGACAGGCCGGGGTCTCCCCGTGAGCAGAGCGGTGACACCAGTTTAACTGGGACAGGGGGTGACCCCAGCTCCCCTGGTGATCTACTAGGATCGGGGCGCTCCCCTGTTTGTCCTTAAAGCCCTTGTCACTTTTAGGACCGGTTTTTACCCCTCAAAACCCGAGCTGAGGCGGGGTCGGGGGCGAGCTCGGGGCTGCGGTCATTTCCCGAGGCCGTGCCAGGCTCAGGGAGGGTGCAGGACAAGAAGTGCCCTGTCCCCATGTCCCCACGGCCTGGCACAGCTGCCCCCTGCCCCGAGAGCGCCCCAGCCGCCCCAAAAGGTGCTCCACTTCCAAAGGTGCTTTGCCTCCAAAAGGTGCTTTGCCTCCA